ATTTGAAGGAGACAGAGGAGTGGGAGAACATGAATTCGACGTTGGACAAGGAGATCAAGACGCTGGAGAAACAGAAGTTGGAACTGGAGTCACTACTCTTCTGCCATCTGAAAGACTGTTCAAGAAAAGTCGATTCTGATGTTCTTTATTTAGATACATCAAACCAGGAAGCCGACAGTTCCAATGTATTAGACACAAGGCAAAAGGAAAAATTAAATGGGATCTTATATCACGAAAACAATAATTTAGGAAGTATTATAAAACACGATGATTTTTCATTTGTATCATCATCAGGATCGTTCCCCGTACAACCGTCATGTTCATCATCGCCATCTACATCAAAAACATTTGCAGATGATGATAAATCATTAATTAGGCAGGATGATTCATCACCATCATCATCATCCTCTTCGCTCAAACGAGAGTTAACGCTACCAATGATGAAAGCAACAACTACACACTCCCCATTAGAAAACAACTTCCCTGCATCTGATAAAATGAATTACGTTCATTCCGAAGATGGCTCCAGAGACTTGCAGACTCCACGCAAGCATATCAACCCGCAAAAATATTACAATGCAAGTTTTTTTAATCAAAAACCAAATGAAACCCAAATTCAATATGATGCAAATCAGTTGCTGTATAACCAGCAACAAATATATAACCAACAACCTTTCAACTGCAGTTACTCTTTAAACACAACAGCCCAGACCAACGCAGTTACGAAAGCGGCAATATTTCCGTGTGTGGACCTTTCCAACAGCAAGAAAAAATATGGCGCTTATGGCCAACAAGCAGACCAGTCGTGTGCTCATGGCGCGGAAAATGACTTCATTTTCATTAAACCAACTCAAGATTATGAATATTCGAACGGCTACAAAAACATCTCAGTTGCACCTAACACATCTTGCCAGTTCAACATCAAGAGTGGCAACAAAATATATACGAACCTTGATGACGTCAACATCAACTGCAATTTCAAGGGCGAGGCTAATAAAAAAGGATTGAAAATCTACAACACAAAAGAGAGCATTTACAATTGGGACATCAACAACAACAACATCAACAACAACATCAACAACAGCATTATCAACAACAACATCAACAACAGCATTATCAACAACAACATCAACAACACAAACGTCATCAAAAACATGAATCTCACAGTAAACACAGCTGATAACGACGACTTGTTCAGTTCAGCAACAAGCAACAACACTTCTGCAACAAGCAGCAGCATTTCTCCAACTAGCAACAACATTTCTTTAACTAGCAGCAACACATCTGCCACAAATCTACGCCATGTAAACGCCGCTAACTTGAACGCAGGTAATATAGTTTCTGAAAATACATCATTTGCGAAACCCCTTTCAACCAACGCAACAGCAACTGCAACGACAGCAGCACAGATCGCTACCACCTCACAGAAGCAGGCCACAAACAGCTCACAGAAGCAGACCAGCTGCAGACCGACTTCGCTTGTTTTATCCAACCTCTCGAACGCCAGCGTGGACTTTGCGAGCAACTACGGCGTATCTCCGAGGTTTCAGAAAGCATTGGAGTTGGTGAGAAAGGTCGAGTTGGAGCAACTGAACGATGAGGCTGGCAGTTGTGCCGACTACCTCGCCAGTCACAACCGCCATGATGAAAATTTCAGGTTCAATATTTTCAACGCAAATGTGATAGATGTGAATAACAACGACTACGATGGTAGCGATAAAAATAACAACGATAATAATAATAATAATAATAATAATAATAATAATAATAATAATAATAATAATAATAATGGAAACACTTTTATTGATCCCACAATTTTAAAAACAAACGATTGGATAAAATAAAATAAATAAAATAAAATATTGTAGAGTTAATAAAATTCATAAAATTAATATGACCCCACAGTTTATTTAGTTGGCAAGTGTAGCGCTGTAAAATATATTTAAATTAGTACCATAGCGTGTTTCTATCACAATGAATATTGTACGAAGATTTTATCATTTCACACAATAATAATATTGATGTTAATAATAACAATAAAATCATTAATAATAGTAGCAACGACAATAGCCGCAAAGATATGAGATATAAATAGCAACAACAGTGTTAGCTATAACAAAAACAACAACAACACCAACAACAACCGCAAGCAAGAGGACAACGACACAACACAGGTACCAAAATGAACTCTTAGTGAATTTGTTCAATTGTAACGTAAATTTTCCTTATTTCTACTAATTGTAACGTAATTTTTACTTATTAACATATTTATTAAATTATGTTAATAATTTTGTAAATTTGTAAAAAAAAGTTTCTTATTCTTTCGAATGTGATAAAATTTTTTAGATTGCTGTACAGTACAAACAGTGTAACTTACTCGTATTGTCATGTCATATTTTCTTGAAACACAGGCAGCTTAATATTATTTATATCATGATATCTCCATATCTCATTGTATTATATCATCACTTTGTGCATTAGCAGCCTGATATCTTATACTAATCTTAATTATATATACATTTTATTACAACGTTTGTTTCTCATAGTTTCAAAAAGTCTTTTAAATATAGCACTAGTATTTTTTAATTTAGATGTTTTCAAAGATCAAATTTTCTAAGATTTATGGTTGCACTTACGCATGTATGTAAAAATTCAAATAAAAATTTATGGATTTGTGCAAGTTGGCTGTCAACTGATGATGACTCACTCAAGTGAACCTCTGATCGTCAAGTTGTATGAATGGCGTTACATTTAAGCAACACGTACCTACACTCAAACTTTATAAGCAATAAATTTTTTTTTTGATGAAATAACTTTTTGTTAAACTTATTATGAAAAAAATTCTTTATAAAATTAGTTTTTCCCATTGAACGCCGGTGTTTTCAAATTTAAATTTAACAATGGAACGACTGCTGTTCAGTTTTTAAAACATTTCCTTGAATAGTTGTGACCATACATGTCGATGCATGTCTTTTTTCTTGCTGCCATGCAAATCTTTTACTTGAACAATTTCGTTGATTTCATTCAAAACTGTTGTTAAAAATTAATAATTGTAATTTTTTACTTTTTTTCAGAACAGACTGCCTCGTTTTGCTTCAATACAACGTACGCACATACATGTATGTATAAACACAAACCCGCATTGAAACATATATACATACATGCTTGTGCGTTTGAACAAATCTTTGTAATAGTTTTTTTTTATTCTGCATTATTTTTTTTTATGAATGATTAAGAAGTAGTGTATAAATTTTGATACATTTGTTTGTTTTGAAATGCCTGTAAAATTTTAAATGGATTTGAAACTGTGTACAATTTGATTAGAATAATTGGTGTTTGTTGTCTTCACGTCCCTTCAACATGGCTCTAGTCATGTGTTTGCAGCGTTTTAAAGACTTTAGTTAGCCTGACTAAATTTCGTTCCAAGAGAGCTTTATAATTACTTATTGCGTTATTATTTGAAATAATATGAAAACAATTACAAAATAATCGAAGAAACAATTTGGCATGACGGTGATTGATTTCTAAATATAGGCACCGCTTGTGAGGCCAGCTAACAATACGCGTCGACAACTGGCTGACTAGTTGGCTGACTGGCTGGTGACTAATGTGGGCTCATCGTGCGTGTGCTACGCATCTTCAACGCTTATTATGCCGCAGAACTATTTTCAAATCACTTAATAATTCAAACGATCATTAATTATTTCATAATAATTCCAAAAAAATTGTCTCCATAATTTTATTTATTTATTATAATACAGATTAAAATTATCATAATATAATTTATTACAATTATATCACAAACAACTGGTTAGTTAACTTCTGGAGGACGGCATTTCAAATGCAACGACGACGTTCACGACGAACTATCAGCAGATTGCAACACATTTATGGAATAACAATGCATAACACAATTTATTGAACTGTCTATATAAATATAAATATATATATATTATAGCGTATATAATATATATATATATATATATATATATATATATATATATATATATGCAAATCAATATACATATTAATATATATATATATATATATATATATATATATATATATATATATATATATATAGATGTGTGTGTGTGTGTGTGTGTGTGTGTGTGTGTGTGAGTGTGTGTGTGTATTTGTTTTATAATATATATATTTAAAACAAATGAATTTGTTTACGTGTTTACTGAATTTGTTCTAATTTAGTTAAATAAATAATGCGTGAATAATTGCGAGTCGAATGACTATTTTATGCATTATACTATAAGTTAACAAATAAATGAATGAGCGTTCTACCATTTCTTACCCAGGTTTTAAGTACCATTTTCAAATTTTAAAAGTTGGCGTATTGAAATGTTACGTTAAAAAAAACCAATACCTTCTGTCGTTTTTAAAATTTTTATGACAGAAGATGTTAATAATTAATTAATTAATTAATTAATTAATTTAAACCAATCGTACCTACAAAACAAATTAAAAATACTTTCAGTCATTCTTCTATTCATTCAATTTTTTAAAAACTAAATTAATAGATCTTTTTTTGTTACAATTTGTTCGCTAGGTTTTCAAATCGTTTTCCAGACCTACTCTCGACATTTCCATTTTGTTCCAAAATATTATTATTCGTATTTACGTTTTAATTCATTTATTTACACGTCTTTGAAATTGCAAAAACATCAAAATAAATTGTTCATGATATAATTTTAAACGCCGTAAACGAAAATATGTTGCCTGCTAGAGAGCAGATGTGTAACGGTTCGTAAAAAATTTTAAAATAGTAAATAACGCAAAACGTTCGTAAAAAAATTTGAACCGAGTGCAGCTGAGCAGTGGTTGTGTTGGGGTGGATGATGGAATGGTGGAGAAGGTGGTAGATGATGATGATGAGGAGGAGGAGGAAGAGGAGGAAGAGGATGCCAGGTAGCGTCTGAACAGGTCTGCCGCATCTTAAAAATTAATTATTTATACATTTTGTATGATCAATCATTATTTTCCGATAGCTATATGTAAAATATGTAAAAAATTGTATGCTTACCAGGTTTTGAGTTGACGAATTTATAAGTAGCTAAGAATCCCGTTGCATCATACTCGTCATCCGATTTGAAAAACACTTTTAAAAAATTGCTTTCAGAAATTAATGACGTCAGAGATGTTCTGCTTTTCAGCTTTTGAAATGTCCTTGACCTCAAACTGGAGATGGCCAGACGTAGGTTAGATTCTGAACCACAAAGTCGAAGAGTTTGATCGTATTTGTTGTAGAAATGATAGTGTTTCTGGCTTTTGTGCTTCTGTTTGCTGGTTAGGTAGTTTCTGTCGTCATCGGTGATGGCGTGGCGACGGTGAGCTGCAAATGGCTGCTGAAGTTCTCGGTCCATAGGATCGCTCAATTGTTTTCCTTTGTCATGAGTTTCAAGTTGGTTGATGTTTGCTTTATGGTTGATGTTTATAGTTTTCTTGATGCTATTGTGATATTTTCTGTTTGGCAGGTTGTTGCTGTTTGAAAGTTCAACGTAATCACTTTGCGTGTCCCTGGAGCAGCTTGACGTTGTTTAAACATATTTTGTTGTTGTAAGCATCATTAACGCATAAACACACACAAACACACGCACACATACACACACACAGACACTCACACACACACACACACACATATATATATATATATTTCAAAAATTCAACACTACTTTCAACATTGTTCAACTTTTTTATATTTCTTTTTAATTTATTGATGTCAGAGAAATTAGACATTATATTGTTTTTTAAAAATTTTTATTAAATAAATTTGCAAATAGCTATTTCGAGTTATATATAACTCATCTTCAGTGCATTA